GCATTTTAAAAATAGCTCCGGAGTCAGTATCAATTCCAGCTTGATGCGGTTTAGATCCCACCAAATGCAATAGATTGTTTTTCTTGAGATCAGGATTTTGATGGTACGTCCCTTTCCGTTGCTTATTCTTCTCATGCGCCATCTTCAAAATGTTTTCACGACGGTACATTACAGCAACATGAAATATTGAACGATTCTTGTCATTTGTATAAGTTATTGCGGTAGGAAGAGACTCTAGAATTTCATGGACGATCTCTTCTATTCCATTCTGTGCCCCTAAAAGTAATGGCTTTCCAAGTTTCGTTTGGGGTTCACCCATTGTTTTAATAGTTGAGCATAAGGACTGGACTAGTCGAAGTGCATGATGATGCTTCAATTTTAGTGCAGGAATGTCCATATTTTGAACTGCATTTGCAACAATCCCACTAATTACCTCAGGACTAAATAATCTCTTCGATTTCCTTGTTAAGTGACTGCTTATATATATTCTTACCTAGAACTTTGGCAAGCAGATTCCGGACCGTCTTGTACACTGCAAAACAACCTTGTGAAGACCAGAAGTAAACTCTATCTAAAGATGGAGGAATCTAGTGATTTCATAATACCTTCAGATGGTGAATACTCTGTCATCCCATTCCGCTTTGTGGGAACATCTACAATACAAACAATTGATTAAAATCCGTTGTAGTAGATATGATTTATTTATTCCAAAGATAAAACTTGTTTCTTTTGGTCCCTTGGTTCTGAAACAACAGTATAATCAACAATCATGCAAAAAAGGCTTTGAGCTCGGGTGGGCTGACCCAACCCACAAGACATTAACTATAACTAGAAATGCTGAAAAATTTGGAGTATACAAGCCATTATAACTAGAAATGCTGAAAATTTGAGAATCGAAGTACTAGTATTGTGAATATCTTTGCCTGACAAATAGTACGCAAACAACATACACATATTTGATAATGAATAATGGAGAGGAAAGGAAGCTCAGAGATACATGAATACAAGTAGATTAAGGACTGCCAACTGCTCAAGCGAATTCCACTTTTGAAACCACCCGGATCATTGGCCATCTGCTCCAAAGGACTGTTATTCTCTTCTTCCGGATCACTGGCCATCTGCTCCAAAGGACTGATATCCCCTTTTTCCCATGCCAATTTCTCGTTGAATTCAAGTAATTCAAGAGCCAAATCTAAAATATCAGCAGAAAAACATTAACTATTTTATCTTAGAAAAATTACGATTTTCAAGATTATTTTCTGTATAAATTGATACATCACAACATCAAATCCACATGACCTCCCATGCGTTTTGATATATTAGTTGATCAGCAGGTGAGCTAAAGAAGTTGGAAGTGCAAGACTTAATCTTACCATAAAATCCTGCTTTTATTAAAGAATTCATAACCCTCGAACCAACACCAGCACCAGCTGCTCCTTTGAGTAGCTTGGAATGATTGTCATCTACCTTGCCGGCTTTAAACAAGTAAGAAGTCATGCTGCGAGCATTTGCTGGTTCTCGCCTCGCAGCTAATTGAATTGGCAAAAGTCGATCTTTGTTTTCACGATTCAGCAATTCGGGATCTTTTCCCACAAGTATTCTGGCATCTTCAACATGTCCAACATTTGCTGCTAAGTGAAGCGCTGTATTCCCAAAGTTGTCAGTCTCAGCCAGTAAATCTGGTGCAATCTTTTCCACCAGCATGTTGACTAACCCCTTTTTAGCTTC